AGCGATTCTTCTTTTTCCATGAATGATGTTAGGTGTACTCGTAGGTTTACTTGTGAGAATTCGTGGGTTTACTAGGAACGCCAATCGGGCTTATAGATTAGCAGTTCTCATTGGTAGACTCAATAAAATAAATAGCGCAATCGATTTCCTGAGCCTTCGGGTACAAATTTACAGCTCAATCTATACCATTTACAATCAAAAACAAAATCCCTATGTAATAGGGCTCAAAATATTCTCTGTGCGGCTCGCCCGTCATCCGGCAAACCACTCTGGTGTAAGGATTTTTATTTTTGGTTTGTACAAATTTTTGTAGACATTCCAGCGAACGTTTCTAGAAGCACATCAAAATCCAAAAAAATACTTTTTAAAAGGACCACGTTATGAATTAATCCGGAATCCGATTCTTCTTTGACATGATCCTTTCTAACACCCTTTGACAGATCCTCCCAGACATGCGAGGATGGGCCAAAACTTGCAAATGAGATTTGTTTGGGATTTTGAGATTTTAAAAAAAATAACTTTTATTGTCTCATAACAATTCATAAAAACTATTCCTTTTCAAACAGATCTCCAATAGCTTTTACACAGGCGTCCAAACGTCGTAGAAAAGCGTCGATCGTGGCGAGAAGGTACAGGAGATCAAGCTCTTCCCAAGCATTTGTGATTATTTTTCTTGTAGGCCTTTAACTTGAGCTTGTTTTTGAAGGAGAGAAAACAAAGCCTTGACAGAAATCTGAAAATTTTGAATGCTTTGAAGAATCCTTTAAGTACTGCTTTGCGGAAACAAAAATCACCTATCAAAAATCGAAAATTTTAATTCTAATTTTGTTAAATGACTCGAAAGACTACTAGAATTTTGTTTTCTGATCTTTAATGAGTTTTGACGATCTCTTTGACATGCATTCGATAGTAACAATAATGATCTGGTTTGTCTGTATGTCATTCTAACTAAAAAGCGCACTTTAGCTTCTGAAGTAGTTAGGTACAGCAAAATGCGCCAGTTTACTGTAGTTTCTGAGAAGCTGTTTGTCAATGTTTGCTTTTATGTGGTAAGCCCACCATAAAGAAAGAGTCCGACTTGGGACCGTTAATCATTCAAACTAAATTGTCGACAGGTAGGTGTAGTAATAGAATTTTTGATAAAGTTTTATGTAGAAATGACCAAAGTGACAACACAGAAAATTTATTGAACACAAGAAGAGGAAAATTGTAGAGACTGAAGAATAAATTAATTCTATTCAAATTCGAACTTATTAAATGAATGAATGATAAAGCTAAATTTAAGCAATATCTTTAAATCACTTTACCTGGATTCCTAAGAAGCAATAATGTTATAGAAAAATAATAATGGTACTTTATTTAGATGATAAAATGAAGCCCAAGAAATCATAGAGAAATGAACGGCGAGCCATAAATCTAGAGACAAAAGAAAGATACGAAGATAAAAAATAGAGTGAAAATACAAGATATAGTGAATACGCAAATAACCAGACTACCTACGAGAGAGAGCCGTTGGATCTGGAGCATCGATTCGTTTCTCAAAAATGGAAAGTGACAGAATCTTTCAATATCCGGGGGGTAAAATTGTAAGATCCGGGGGGGTAAAATTTTAACTTTTTTATACTTTTTTTTTACTTTTTGACCATTCTGCTAATTTTATCAATCTTTTGCACCTATCGCTTTCAGAGTTTAAAAGAAGAACGAAAATATTGCTCATGATCTGATTAATGGTCTAAAAGTAAAAGATCAATAGATTAACGCAAATTCCGTGAAATTTTACATTTTCCATAGGCTTTGTAACTAAAAATGAAATTCTTGAGGCAAATGTTTAAGTTTTTGTTAAACCCTTAAACTTAAACCTTTAAACTTATATCATTTTGCGTTAATTTTAGCGTTTTAAATAGAATTTCATCAATTTAGTGTGAAAATGTTTGCCACCAACTAGGATATTATCAACATTTCTAATAATGACATAAAAAAATTTTGTAGAAGTTACGTTTTTGATCGAGTATCACCTCGAATCACGTAATCACCTCAATAAATTGAATATCTTTACATTTGAAGGGAATTTGCCACCAAATCACTTAAGCGGCTGAATATCTTTAAAAGGGGTCGTGTATAACGTATATAAAATTTTACCCCCCGGATCTTAAAATTGGCCCTCCACTACTCCGTGATAACAAAAAATTAGGAAATGCCAGGGAGTAGACTTTGTAAAAATGTTGTCTGCGGTCATTTTGAGACCAAAATCGTATTAATTTGTCAACTCACAAAAAAGTTATAATGTTTTGAAGACAAAAATGACGTTTGACGACTTTCTGCGCGCTAAAACGTGGATAACACCGTAACCCTTCCCATGGCGAAAAACAAAACTACTTAAAGAGCGCTTGCAAAGGATTTTTTTTTTTCAGTTCATTTTTCGGGGGTGGGACAAATGCGACCTTTTTTTTGCGCACCTGGACATTTGCGCACCTTTTTTTTGCTGGAAAAGGCCTTAGGAAAGGTAGTAGAGCTTTTAAAAAAAATGCGATTTTAAAAAATCTGTCAGACGGATTTTGATAATTTTTTCATCATTGAATTCAGCACATTTTTCTGCGTCAAATGGCTATTCAAACGTAAAAATCCTATAGAAAACGATTTTTTGCCTTATTTCGCGCGGGTGCCCCCCCCCCCCCCCCGGATACTCCACAAGTACCTCGCTTTTAATTCAACTATCGATTTTGTGTAAAAATTGCTCAAGTGAGAGCCCAAAAATTGCGAGTCAGTCGGCTATTGAATAAAGTGTCTTAGTTCAAGTGAGATCAGATATCTCGAAACAAGAAATAACGTGTCTTGAGTGAAGAGTACCAAGCACGCAAAGAATATTTCTTTACAGGAATAAATTATATAAATTCCGTCACGAATTAATCAGAAAAAGCGCACACGCGACTACAACATTCTCAAAACTTATTTGCACTTCTGCTCAGAGTTCCTTTCACGAAGTTGTCAATATTTTTCGACTTTCCATACGAAACTTTTGGAGAAAAGTAAGAAAGAAATTTGTGCTAAACAGGGAAATTTTTGATGAGAAATCGAAATTACTTGTCAATTTGCATTTTCACATCAAATTCCCATTGATTTCGATAGTTCTCAAAATAGACATTTCTCGCTTTTTCCTCCAAAATTATTAGAGCATTCGTCGTTTTGATTCGGCTTTTTTCCCGTGTGTTCACAATCCAGTAAATGACCCACGGCGAGATGATCACAAAGTACATTGGAATCTATGAATTGCAATTTTATTAGTTCATAAGGAAATGAAAACAGGGTTCACTGTATTTTAAAAGTGAGATTTTATAAAGTTTATAAACCAAAATTGATCGTTTCAAGGAATCTTGGCTCTTGTCCGGTTACTGGGCATTTTGAATCGATAATCCTGTGATAAACCGATAATCTAGCTCATAGATAATCGATAATCCGATAATCTAGCTCATACCTTTGTTCAGAGTCAATATATTTTCTTGCACTTGCTATATTTTATATTGACGCTATAATGACGAAAATTCTAGGTTATCTAATGAAACTAAATACAGGGTTGGGCACAACCACGGGCTGCTTGCTTTGTATATTTGGGCGTTTTATGCGAGTTTTTTTGATTGTTTTCTGGTATTTTGTATTACTTCAAGCTATTATTAGCTTGTCTGTCATTATTTTCTGTCATTTTAGGGATGTTGAAGATGTTGAAGATTTTGAAGATTTTGAAGATGTTGAAGATGTTGAAGATGTTGAAGATGTTGAAGATGTTGAAGATGTTAAGGATGTTGAAGATGTTGAAGATGTTGAAGATGTTGAAGATGTTGAAGATGTTGAAGATGTTGAAGATGTTGAAGATGTTGAAGATGTTGAAGATGTTGAAGATGTTGAAGATGTTGAAGATGTTGAAGATGTTGAAGATGTTGAAGATGTTGAAGATGTTGAAGATGTTGAAGATGCTAAGGATGTTGAAGATGTTGAAGATGTTGAAGATGTTGAAGATGTTGAAGATGTTGAAGATGTTGAAGATGTTGAAGATGTTGAAGATGTTAAGGATGTTGAAGATGTTGAAGATGTTGAAGATGTTGAAGATGTTGAAGATGTTGAAGATGTTGAAGATGTTGAAGATGTTGAAGATGTTAAGGATGTTGAAGATGTTGAAGAAATCTATTCATCGAGATTCAATCATCGATCTATACAAGAAGGGTGTTCGGCAGAATGATATTTCTCAAACGGTTTTTTGTTGCAAAATCGTTTTTTTCGAAAATTATGAAACAATTTCAAGCTTTGGGAACAAATCTTGACCGACCAGGACGCGAAGCAAAAGCCACAGCTGTAACAAAGATCAAGAGGGTACGCGAGCGACTCCACTACAACAGAGCGCGGCACAAAGTGACATCATAAGCGAAAATGGTTAAAGATCTGAATATTTCGCAAATTGTCGGGTCGAATTGTCAAAAAGCCTCTCGGAATGGCTTACAAGTTTGCAAAAAGTCAATTTCTCACAGCAAGAAAGAACGAAAAGATCGATCAAACTGCTTCTGATCAAAATCTGATCAAACCAATTGCTTCTTCGCTTCAACAGAATCGATCATCGCAACATGCTTTTTACGAATGAAAAGGTGTTCACCATTGAGCAGTTTGTCAATAAACAAAACAATCGCGCTTATGCAAAATCTCAAGCAAATGCCATTGTCACCTAAACGGGACATCCAGAATCGATTATGGTGTTTGCGGGCATAACTTCTGATGGAAAGACGTCGTTCATCTTTGTGAATCAGGGATTGCCATCAGGGAATCAGGGAGTCAAGATCAATGCCACAAATTATCTCAATATTTTACAGCAACAAGCTCTTCCGTGGGCTCAGAATCATTTTGGCAATAGGATCTAGTGTTTTCAACAAGATGGAGCGCCTGCTCATGCCCGAGCCATTCAGGGCTTCAGGAAGCTCAACTTTTCCGATTTCATCGCCTTCAACCAGTGTCCCCCATCAAGTCCTGATCTTAACCCATTGGATTACAGTGTGTGGAGTGTTCTCGAGGCAAAAGCTTACCAAACTCGCCATTCCAACATCAAGTTGCTAAAGAAATTGCTTCAAAAGGCTTGGGGATGAGCTGGACGTCCCCTAACTTTCTGCCATCGTTGACGCGTTCCCCAAACGCCTTCAAGCCGCAAAGGGAAATTTGTTTGAAAAACAAAACTATTTTTCTAGTTTAAATACTTGTTAAGAATAAATTATTACCGTTTTTTTTTCTTGATACGATCTTTCGTGGTTTCTAGCCCGAGAAATTTATTAGTTTCCGTAATTGTGCCCAAGTCTGTAAGTAGAGGCTTAGGCTTAGGCTTAGGCTTAGGCTAGGTCAACAAACTTGAGCAATTTCCATTGTTCGATTGGCTAATTTAGCTCTACCTAGTTTCATTAGATAGCCTAGCGTTTTTTCTAGTAAAATATAGAAAAATAAACAAAAATATGAACTCCGAACAGTCCGAGATCCTCAACAATACTCACAAAAACGAAGCCGGAGCCGGCGGCAAATGTAACTGAATCGAGTTGATTTACGAATAGATTCCGATATGTTTGGCTGAGGAATTGATAACCGAAAAAGGAAAAGGCATGAAGGATGCTGAAAATGAATTGTTAAAAGAATAAAAGACTCTATAAATAACCTATACGGGAGGAAAAGTTGCCATGTTTCCATGAGTTGTCGACGAGAGAGAGTCACAGAAATGTCGAAAGATCGACTCAGTCTAGGTTGAGTTTTGAGATTGTGCAGAAAAGTGGCTCTTTTCTGTGAAATCTTATTTAATGTTTTGAATTTAATGATTTGAATATCTGATTCTCTTGTCCCGCCTCTAAAAGATCCTTTTTATGATAAAAGGGACGGAGCCTACTTTGTATTGTCTCTTCATATTGCTTTTTCGTATTGCTATGAAACACCGAACCAACGATTGATTCTATTAGGTTGATGCATAAGTGTTTTTGTTCCTTTTCGTCTGCCGTTTCAAGCCAACAAATGCACCAATTAAACTACGGTTGATTTCATTAGAAAAAACAATTATTTTTCTGCAAAATAACATTAAAACGGGTTTAAAAATATTTTATGCCTGGATTTTCTTGAGAGTATGAAGTCGGGTAGTCAAAAAGGGCTAACTCGATGATGCTATTTAGACACCTTAGCTAAAGAAAACCTATCTTCGTGTCAATAGATAAAAGATAGAGAAAAAAAAGTTTGATATTTCGCCAAAATTTCAGAGAAATTCATTCAGCCAATTTTTCCGTAGAGTTTTTTATAGATTTTTACGAAAAAGGCGTTTTTCACTCTCGAATTTGCTTGAAAGTGAACCGAAATTGATTTAAAAAGATGCAAATTGAACAAAAAAACACTTTTTTTTATAGAGCAAACTATAGATTAATTGGTGAATTTGTTACTTTTTAACAGAAGTACGAAAAAAACGAAAAGACTTATGCATCAACCTATTATTTTATTATATTTTCTCGCTAGATTAGTATTGTGCTAGATTCGGAATAAATATCTAATAATCAAAATTGCCCCCATCGGTATTCTCTCACACACTGCACAGAGATAAACTAACATAAAAGTCATTTAATATAGGAAAAGAATCAATAAATAAGAGTTTTACCTGTTAACACTATCCACAACTCACTTATTTTTCCGGCGACACAAAAAGAAGAGGGAAAATCCGAGGAAAAGCGTGGTCACTTCGAAAATGATACTCATCAACCCTTCGACGTTTAATTTCGCTAACAAAACGGGCATCGAATTGAGCACACAATAGGGGACTTGAGAATCGACGATTATTAGGCCATAATATTTCCAGTACTGTTCGATTGCGACTACACCAAACTGGAATCAGGCACACAAAAAAAGTAAGTCAAGGGTTCTTTTAGAATTTGGAAAGCCTGAAGTTTTAAACATTTAAAAACTTACCGCTAACAACATTACAGTTCGACGAATCGTTTTTTCGTTTTTGAAAAATGGATCAAAGTAGGAAACAACCCGAATGAGCGTTAGCGCCAAGTTGAGAGTCGGTAATGAAATGATGGAGAATGAAGTGGCGATTCGGAGATATATACAAAGAGTGTTTGAGAAAGTCGCTTCACAAGCGGGCTGAGTGAGGTGTTGATAAAGCATCATGCTCTAAAGAATAGATCTAATTTTAGAATACAAGAATCGAATAGATATGAATAGATTGCTTTAAAAGCAAAAAAATCGATCTCCTTAGTATTCGAGTCCAAAAGGCATCATTCAAATATTCAAAATCATCATTCAAATATTCAAAATGCTAGTTTTTAATCGATCACCCCAATATTCTGGCATCATTGACTTGGCTTTCGAATCGAAATTTAGGCCATAATCAAGTTTTTAGTTGAATATAGCCTATCATTCGAGTTGAATACTTTCTGATTTCACTACAAAAGTGTACAGTTGATCACGTACTATTTCTAACACTCAACCATAGAGACAATTGATTCAGGAACTCTTCCTTCTGAATAGAAAAAGGAGCACACAACTGGCTCAAGACAAAGCTTAAAATCTTCCTATCCTGCTGTCCTCCTAACCTTGAGAATTTTAGGAGACTTAAATCAATGATTTCTTATTTTATGAGGCTCAACTCAATGATTTCTTATTTTACGAAGCTCAACTCAATGATTTACCTGTGAACACAACGAGGAGAACGCCTGAATGAAATGGACAAGATAACAGCAAAATAAATGCTCTTTGAAAGTCGTATCCAAGAGAAATGAAGAGAAAACCCGTTTTGAAGTGACTAAAAGAGCGATCAGAGCTGCGATGGCGCACAAAATCTGACAACAGAATTGAACTTTCAGGGCGCCGTTCGTTGAATATTTCGAAATATCCGGGCAGTCCATTTTGTTTTGAAATAAACCGAAGTTTTGGCAAAAGTGAGATTCGACTGAATCTTGAAAATTTTCAATTATAATCAATCTTCTATTTCTTTTCGTTGATGGCGATGAAATTAAGTGTCGATTCCCAAGAGGATTTTTTCATTCGTTAATATTTCTTTTTGAAATCACGAGATCTTTAGTTTAACAAAATCAAAACCACAAAAGACGTATTTCCATTTCTAAGTCACTTAGGAGAAAATTTCCTGTTTGTTTTAAAGTTTAAAATGAAGACTTTCCTTTTACAGGGTGCGTCATAATTACGGCCAGTAGAAAAAAAAACGTGGAAGCTCTTTCCAGATACTCCAAATCTCAAATTCTCTTTATAACAACGTTTATCAGATGCATATCAATCAAAATAACAACTAAACTTCAAAAATATCTTCATTTGTTTTGTGGCATGCGTCAAGACGTGAATGAGCCCACGGTGGCATGCAAGTAGGACACATCGAGATCATCTCAGGCTTTGGTCAACGCTTTCTTCAATGAATCGATGCTTTTGTGTGATTTTTGACAGCCTTTGACTCGAGAACCGGCCACACCAAATAATCCATGGGATTAAGGTCAGGCGAGCTGGGAAGCTACTCTTTGAAAGTGATGAAACCCGGAAAGTTTTGAAAAAACCAATCCTAAACAAATCGAGCTTTGTGAGCCGGTGCCCGGTCCTGTTGGAAAGTCCATTGCCTCGATCCAAAGTCCTTTCGATCCCTTCCCAATCGATCTCTATCGCTTCCCTTTTCTTCCGTTGCTTAAATCGTGCAATAGTTCGAAAAAAAAGAGATTCCTTTGCATCGAGATCATCCCAGGTCAACGCTTTCTTCGCTTTGATCAACGCTTTCTTCAATGAATCGATACTTTTGTGTGATTTTTGACAGGCTTTTGACTCGAGAACCGAATAATAATTGCTAATAGCATAAACTCTTGTTTGTTTGTTGAGCACTTGTTCGACGGTAAATAGCTTCTCATCAATGAACCAAATGTTGTGGTGTTGCCGTCCTGGAAATCGCTGAAGAAGGTCTTGGCATCGCGCCATTCGCTTCTGTTTTGGAAGTCAGCCCATGGCACTTATTCTTCTTGAAAGCGTTTATTTTTAACTCCCTCCGAACAATTCTTCTCATCGATGGTTCAGAAATCTTCATTATGTTTGCTCGCCAAACTCTGCGAGTTTTTACTCGCTATAAACATAATATCATTTTTCTCATAAGCTTTTCCCATATGATGTATTGTCCACCAATTTTGAGGTTGGACAATTTATTCCAAAAACCAGTGTAGAATGTTAACTTTAGTGCCT